AGTCTTTGATCAATGTCTTGTCATAAATGGGCTCACTGTATTTTATGATTACCAAAATGACTCACAAACCACTATTTTATTTGTCAGGTAGGTGTAGCTACCAAAGCTGTTTTCCTTGGTGGCTTGCTTACAGTTTGCAGCTGCTTGAAAACCTCCACTGGAAGTAACAGGCATGTGGCTAGTTTYCAAACTCTTCACACTGAAAGCAAATAAATGTAATGTTTTCTAGGAATGAATTTCAGCTTCTAGTCCTGTACCCGTCATCAGTCAGAACCTCATGCAGTAAAGCCCACTTGCTGCAGCAGCAGCCAGCTGTGTCAGGTGAACTCAGGTACCTCGAGAGGAGAATCTCAACGCTTCTAGTCTTTCCCTGTGCGCGACATGAAGGAGGGTCTGCGTCTGTGCGCGACGAGGAGCGACTAAAGAGGGGGGAGGAAGAGGGGAGGACAACGCGTCTTCTTCGAGCTCGGTCCAGTTGTGTTCACGGCTGACAGGATGTTTGAGCGCGGTGGAGCCGCTGCTCCGTTCAACCTGTTCACAACTTCTCCACGAAGTTAACCCTCTAAAATCAACGCCGCGCCTTTCTTTCTTTATTATTATTTTTTTCCCTAATTTACCGGACGGATCGGTTCTCTGTGGTTTTTATCAGCGGAGCTACAGTTTTTTTGTTTTCTTTGTTTTTATTTGAGGAAATCCGTGTTTCTGTTCCCACCGAGGCGTTTTCCGCAACACGGCAGGGAAACTTCAGCGGCTCGGGATGGACGTACCTGTTTTTATTCTGCTCATCCACCTGACACAAACACAGATCAAAGGTAAATTTAAAATGTTTATTCACCTGTCTGCACTGAAACATTTAATATGGAGCTGTTCAGGGGGATTTTTTTGTAAATTAAAATTAATCAGTGTCTGTTTCTCCCAATCTGAGTTGGACTGAAATCTTATTTTTTTAGGACAGTTGTCTTAATTTTCCCCCCATAGACAGGTGTAGAGAAAACAAAGTGCTTTAACATTTCAGTACTGATGATATTTATACTTAAACATGTACGTGAAGGCATGTCCAAATGCATAATTTATTAT